TTGTCTATTTTCTTCCAAAATTTTCAAACTAATTTACTGATCTACGTCTTCCATTATCGGTACAATCGAATATCCTTTACAATGGCATAATGTAAAGGTGAACTCAAGATATGTATACGACTTGGTATGATATGACACTTGTCACAACAAAAAACATCCCGTTTATGATTTCCTCTCAGTGTTACATCAGACCTGAGCGACACACTCCCAGCCTCACGACCCGCCAATGAGTTACATTTGTCTATTCAGTACATGACTCACAGTTCATTCCAATCAAAATATTAAACAAATTTGGAGATAACAGATACTGGTAATCACAAGAGGTTAGCCAGTGACACATTTTTCATCATCCACATAAAGGTTACTGTCACGACGTAAACAATAGTATGATCTCTTCAATCACACTAGCCCCACAATGGGTCACAGCTCAAGGTTGAAGTAGCCACAGGTCCAGAAAACTGAGGCCAAACGTTTTCGCTAGGAGAGTTGTGACGGCACCGAATGTGAACTGTTTCAAGACCAGACCTGACCAACACTGGAGCAGGTTCAGATATACTCAGGAGCCAGTGCATGCCCAGTACTTACCACCAGTGCGTAACAGAGGCGTGACCGATCGCCCAAGCGGCTAACGAGCCGATCAGTGGTGAAGAGGATAACAGTAAAAGTAGTCACAGCAAACACTAAGTCGGTGACGGGCGAGGTTGGGGTGATGCCATGCCTCAGACAGCAGTGTATGGGCGTAAAGAAAATTATCAGAGGTAGAATCCTTCAATTTTGAAAAGGTAACATGACAAAACACGGCGATGAACAAAAGACTGAAGGTTATGCAGGGTAACGGGAGGAGGGTTTGTGTGTGTGTGTGTGATTTAACTTAAGTTATCCGTATCCTCACACTATTCTCTACATTTAATTTTCTTTAAAAACTTACCAGAGAAAACGTGCGCTTTTTTACGTTTATGCTCGTCTCAGATATTCTTAAGAGACCGGATAGCAGTAAACTTATTTCTTAACATGACAGAGTTGATGCCCTCGCCAAACTCGCGTCTAACAAAGACACCGTTGAATACAATTTGGGTCTGTCAAAAAGAACCCTTAAAACTGTAATTAGGAAAGAACTTATTGATGAGTTTGACGCAAGTAGACAAGTGCAAACAGGCACTAGTCGATCCATAGGTTACCATGATGAGATGTATCAAGTGAAACATGTATATGGTGCAAGTAACAAGATCACTAGATTACAAGATGTTGTAACCGCTAGATTAAGGTTAGGATATAAGTACCTTTGGCAGTATGTTCCTCAAGCAGATGTAAACAAAACTAAATGTAAAGTGTGTGGCCAGACATATGGCCACACACTTGAACACTACGTCCTCGACTGTGTGAAGATAGAACCTTTTAGGGACAGGTCCAAGCACACTGTGTGTGAAATGGCACAACACTTCATCTCTAATGGCAAGATAGCCGACATATTAAGATTGTATCCACTTTTTTGCACTTAGTAACTATATCAATTCTCATGTACAGAACCAAATACGCAATGTGCTTGAATACTTCTCACGTAAATGTGAATAACAAAGTGTGAGGCCAGACATACTGCCTCACACGCCTGTTCTCACGCATTTGTGAATAAGTTACCCTTTATGTATAGAACTAAACAAATAATGTAAATGAAATACTGTGTAACTTTCAGTGCCATAATATCCTGACAACGGGGGTTAATTATTATGACCCTTTGTAAACCCTACTCTGTAATCCTTTTGCGCTACCGCTCACAGGATGAGTGTGGGGTGCACAATAAAGTAGCCGCTGCAAGCGGCAAAATCAAATCAAATCAATGATTAAAGCATAGTGTGTGGAGGAATAGAATTTTCGTATTTCAGTTTAGTCTCCAGTTCCCTTGCAAACGAAGACGATAGCCCTGCCTTCCGTCAGCACGGGGACCCACACACCACTATTACGGATCATATATTGATAAGCTCTCTTGTCAGTAAGCTAGTTAAGTCTCCATAAAACTATTATATGTAAAAGGATTCATGATTATCAGAAAGGTTAACATCGCCTTTAAGCCAAGAATAACGTTTAACAAACCCCTCATAAATGGTTACCATAAAAATATTTGGTTTGCAGCTTTCGTGACATAAAAGTAACGAATAGAACTAATAAGAAAGTTTAACTATAACTCACCCCTTGTGCTGAGTAACAACAGACACTCCTGAGTTCCTGACACTTGTGGGTTAGTGTTGAGTGTCAGCAGTAGCTGGTCACATCACAACCTGCGGTCCACTTTCACCTCTGTTGGGTACTAAGGCTCAGTGTACCAGCAAAATACAGTACAGTACTGTACAGTGTGGTAACTGAGTAATGGTGAAGGTGTGGTTAAGCCTTGGAGGAAAATGTGGATGGTCACCTGTTGTGACGGCTGTGAAATTATGAGGCAGGTGTGACCACAAGTAGTGACGGGAGAGGAGTGAGGAAGCAGGTGTGTCCAGAGGGGACAGGTGGCGGAGGTGTGTGGCGCGCGCCAGAGGTGACGCCTCAGTGATGTCCTGACAAGCGTCCCGTCACTTTCATATTACCAGTGACGTCACTATCATCGACAGCTTCTCCCATTGGTCCTTAACAAGTCTGACAACATGTGCTGCTGTTGCCTCCTACACAACTTTTCCTACAAGGCGCCTCATCTGTGCTCACTTGTCAGCTCTCAAGGAATCAATAAACGAATTATGAATTGACCAGACTAATGTATTACCGGTAGTAATTTGCGAGATGGTCCATGCTATTTGAGATTGTTAACGCTGCATTTATCACCCAAACCATTACCCTCCTTCGAAATTGTATTTTATATTATTTATTATACTTTCTAGTCCTATACAGAATCACATAGTAGGTTACCTATATCAATTAACATTTAACCCTCAATCAGTCAACCAATGTGTTTCCCCTGTCTAAGAAATGTTAATATCGGACACACAGAGTAGTAAAACAAGTTTCTCAAGGCGTGGTGCTGAATGACCAAACGTTTACCCCCTGGTATATTGTAACACCACTATTTTCGTTAATTAATGCTTCAGGTGTGAAACTATGTGGTAAGGTATAACTGACTCGGATGATCGGCTGACGTAAATTTTAACCTCTGTTTACCGCACCTTGTCAACCTGCTGGGTGAGCCTCCCCGCGGCAGTGCAGTGAGCGAGGGGTCATAACGTCAGGTGGGCTGCTTCACGACACCTGACCCGGCTCACCTTACACTTCATTAATTATCTGGAATGAGGCATTTGATGGCTGCCGTCTTCGCTGAAAAGGTGTTAAAATCTGTAGTGTTGCGATAAAGCCTCTTATTGATGAACTGAAATGTTTGTAAAGGTTGAGACTGTGATTAATGAAGGCAGGTGAGAGAGGGTCACTACCATGCCTTGCCTCACATCATCAACCATTGTGTCTGTCACTCACTACCTTCATTGTTGGTCTACGTCACACCATAATGGATTTCCCACAAAAATAGGGGAGGGGGGGACCTTTAGATTTTGAAAAATACATTTTTTCTCAGTTACTTGGGTAATAATTTCATATATTAGTTCATTTAAAGATATTTGCGATATATTTAGACTCTCCATAAATTAACTAAAACACTAAAATTCCTGCTTTTGAACATTTACAATTTCCCCACACTGCATAAAACTGTCAAACAGCAGCACTGAACAAGTTAACATCACGAGTTTCTCCTCCTAACTCCAGCCACTTGTGAGCAACAGTTGATAAATAATTATCCAGCGACGGATCTCTCATGATTCTATAACATCACAGGTAAGTCAAATCAAACTGCATTAACCCAGAGGCAGATACCAGGTTTTTTTTTTGCTACGTTTATGGATGCAAAGCTTGCCTCCTGTCTTTGAGGTCGCTGTTTCGCGTCAAGGTCACCCCAGATCATTTTGCAATTGGGAAGTGAAGGCGGATTTAGTGTACAATATAGTGTTCTGTATCTACACTGTCCCTAACAGGTCCTCAGGCCTATGGGACCCATTACCACTATGTTTGTCAGCAGGTAGTGGACGGCAGCGAGCCTCGTCTCATGTAAATACCGGTACTGTATTGAAATAAGGTCACAAGATACCACCTACGTTGCTGTTACTGATTAAATGATGGTGTTGATGTGTACTGGTGGCTGATGGCATTAGGAAAATTGTTCCGCAAAAGAGTAAACTTGCTCCCGCATCAGTGTGGTGATGGAGGTGACTGGCGTGGTGGTGATAGTAATGGTGGTAGTGGTTGTAATCATGTTGATGGCGTAGTACTGGTAGTAAAAGTGATGATGATCGCGGGGTAGTGTTGAGGGTGATTGGTCATAGTGCTCGTGGTGGTTAATGGTGATAAACACGGCAATGGTGATGTGGCCAAGATGTTTATGGTGGAGATGGTGTAAATTGTGATAAAGACAACAATGGTGACAATGGTGGTCTAGTGCCCACCTCTGACCCACCATGACACGTATACCAATAATAATATTGTTACCTGTTTAATGTTCGGTCGTCTTTACCATGGAGTATTCGATCATGTAGTATTATTTTAGAATGACAACGAAAACATCTTTTTTGTGTGTTCTTTAATTTTATTAAGGAGTATATTAGTGGCTACAGAAGGACCACTTTTACGGACGTAAGTCATACTTCACGGCCAACACCGACACCATGACGCGGTGCATAATATATATATATATATATATATATATATATATATATATATATATATATATATATATATATATATATATATATATATATATATATATATATATATATATATATATATATATATATATATACACACATATATATATATATATATATATATATATATATATATATATATATATATATATATATATATATATATATATATATATATATATATATATATATATATATATATATATATATATATATATATATATATATATATATATATATATATATATATATATATATATATATATATATGCCGACATATGCCATACTACAGTAATTAACAATGTACTTAACTAAATCTTAAGAATACAACAAAATACCTAAGTTAGGTATAACAAGATAGTATTTACAAACTTGTAGTAATCGTGGCCACTACCTGCCATCACCACTATTATGCTAGATATAATAAACTTGTTGGGTTGCGGCGGCTGGCCCACATGCGCGCCTTAACAATAAATATGGGGCGGTGCTCCAGCCGCCGTACGCTGACATTTCTCCAGTTAATGCCTAATACTCCGGTTACAGTCCACAATGTCTACTTAAGCCCTAAATATATATTTGAGGGAAGATACATTTAATAATTTAATTCAAGGAAAATACTAACATGTGCATTTCTCTTGTTGTTCGGTTGAAGGCTATAATTATGAGATAATCTTTGTATGGTAAACATATATTTGTCATTAAAGTGTAAAACCCTTTACTTATTAAATATATTTACAATTGATATTTCTTTTCGTTGCATATTAACCTTGTAAATGTAAAGTTAGTGTGTACGGGTGTGAGGTAAATTTTACGAATTGATAATGAAACATGAATGAACAACAGGGAGTGTGTTGTGATGTAACTAAGAGCGTTGCTTACGTTACTGGAAGCGAGTTCAATGGTAATTTTTCTTCGTAGTATTGACCGAGTTGTGTGCCTTGTGCCTAGTATAGACATGGGTAAAATTTGCGACAGCCAGACTAGTAGGTCTACCCAACTTAAATAATCCGAAATGATTTTGTGATTTTGATGTAACCTTTGAAATGTGAAGCAACTGTAAATTAAAAAAAAAATTAAAATTAGAAATATGCTTTTGCCCATACGAGTTTCAATTGGCTATGAACGGTTGCCTTTACACAAGACGCGATGCACACACAAGGAGAGGCGTCATCACACAGGACCCATTACAACTCTCTCGCCCGTATAACTTAAGTAATGCTCCTGGAGACCAAGACCCGAAGGACCAACTTGAGTCTCCATCCTAAGTGAGGATGATGAGATACTAAGTTATTATGGGTGCTGGGTCAGTTTACTTCATCTCTATACGTTCAAGTCTTTTACTTTTATTTATTAATTATTGATCAACAAAACAAACTTAACTGATATATACATAACTAGTGTTCGGTAAACTAGAATGAAACCGAATAAAATGGTAGTGAAACAAACCCAGCGCGACCTGTGTAAATGCAAGAACAATCAATCAATACTTCCTGCGATAACACTAATAACATATTCCTATTAGGTGGAGCCCAAGCCGCCTGAACTAACTATTGCTTATGCTCCTAATGATTCCTAATACAATGAAGGAATTCTACTTGAGGAAGCGTACCAGTATGCAAGTCAACCTTGCCTTCTGTGAGCTATGACTTCTTGAAGGTTTTCATGGCCTTGGGAGTCACTTCTGTATATCGGCGGCCCTGAAAACCTCTGTGGGGTACCAGTATCAGGTGGTGGTCTTGAGAACTGTCCTGGATACCTGTCCTGCACGTAGGCATCAGGCACTTCCTCCTGGTATTGTGGTCGTTGAGGTTGTGTGTGGGGGAGACGGTCGAGGAAGGCGGGAGTTGGACGGCGTGGAGGGTGTTGCCCGGTACCCACCCCACCTCCCGGCTGAGGGATCTGACCATCAGTTTCCACACGTGCAACACCAAACTCAAAGCCCTCAGGATAGTAGCGATCAGCGTACGTCTTGTTGGAGCCGTCCTCCCCGTCCACCTCCTTATATAAGAACTCGTTGACGAAGTGGAACTTAGAGGACTTTTCGCAGATGTTGTCCTCAGAACGCGGCAAACAGATAAGGTGAACCTATCGACAAATTAATGCATCAGTCTCATCCTCTATTCACATGTATACAGGGGGAGAATGAAGTATCTTTCCGGGTTTTGACTAATACATCGCAGAACGGTTGAGCCATTCCACATATGCCTGGAGTCTCGTTAACGCTTCCAGTATAACCCGTTAGGTTTCATTATACTTCATTCTCTTATTGTACATAAAAAAATAATAGAAGGAATGATTGAATTATAATCGCCAAATGAAATCACAGCCGCGCATATACATGTAGTATATGCGTCAACATTTGTACTTGCTAAATTGCACGAAAACTTAAACTTTCAGTGGAGAGGTTGTGAGAACACGGCTCAGACATACGGATCAGGCAGGCTAAGTGGCCCGCCCATGCTGTTAGTCAGGAGTAAAACGGAGTCTTTAAGACCCTAAGACCGAAGAGTTAACAAAAATCATTTTGCAGACTGAGCAAAAGGTTAATCAGATTAAGAAATATTTACATACTGTAAATATTCCTCAACTATTCTATTTTTTAATGGTACATTAGCACAGATGATATTCTGGTTTATTAACTACTCTTATCAATTACGTTTACGGCAATAGAAAATAAAAGGAAATTTGGCCTCCATAAGACCTATCTAACCTGGGTATACTGACAACCTACCTAGTGAAGGAGGCGCCCTGGGTAACTGACACCTGGACAATAATGACTACCTCATGAAGAGAGCGCCATGGCCCATCTTGAAGGAGGTGCTATCAACCCACCTGGTGGAAGGAGGCGCCTTGGGGACACAGCCATGAGTGCTTCAATTTGTCCTGGCAGTAATGGAAGACCTCACACTGCACCTCCTCGTCAGCGTAGTAGCCGTTATTCTTGTCGAAACAGGTGAAATGCGAGTCGAGTAAGAGTAAGGCTAGACGATCAGGCTCTTCCTCTTCCTCCTCTTCCTCATCGTAGTCGTACTCAATCCGGTACGGCTGCTCTCGCGATTCTGCCGCTTGGATTTCGAAAGGCTCCTGGTTTTCATTTATTACATTATACTGAAAATGATGTGAGATTTAAGTACTTACTATTATTTAGTGTTTACTACAACCAACTACAACTATACCCCTTGTGTTCCACGTCTTATGTGTTACCATGTGCTCGAATATTACTGTATAAGAATAGTAATGTCAGTGGACGAGTGGATACAGTGCTGGTCTACTGTTCTAAGGTTCACTAGTTTGTATCCAGGTCACTCACCTCACCTAGCTATACAAGTGTACTTAACTTTACATTTGGGGAAGCGAAGGCTGTCGAATGTACTGCCGGCCATATTGTCTCTCTGTGTACTAAACCCTTAACATTCCTTCCTCGGCTTCCTACATTAAGTCTTTCTTGTTATTTTCTTCGTCTTTTTGTCTTACTCTCCTTTATCAGCTCCTGTTATCAAATTTCCTTAACGCGTTTATTTCTCTCCCTTACCTCACCTAACCTAACCACCTTGTTTATCCGGGTGTTTCGTTTACCTTTACCCCTTCGCCTTACCTCTCCCTTCATTAGCGTGTGAGCAGGTGCGAGCAGTGTGTATGAGCAGGTACAAGGCGTGTGTGAGCAGTATGTGAGCAGCGTGCCAACAGGTGCGAGAAGTATGTCAGCAGGTGTGAACTGAGTGTCAGCAAGTGCGAGCAGTGTCAGCGGGTGTGAGTAGAGTGCGGTTAGAAAGCCTCACAGTGAAATGACTTGGGAAATGGCAATAAGAGAAAGTGCCTTAAACTCCGAGAAGTGCAGCTGACCGTCCCTGCGGGCTCCCCTCTGTACCGCACGGCCTGAGGCACAACCCTACTTCCAGCACTACCACCCAACACATACACACACACACAAAACACATACAAACACAATCAAAAACAAAGACAAACACAAAAAACACACACACACAAACACACTCTGAGAGGAGGGTTGTCTTGCTGCACTCAAGGAATGGATCAAGATAAGTGTGGTGCGGGAATAAGGTCGAAGATATTTGTGGCCAACGAGTAGAAAATCCATCAATTATTATATCTATCCATTTGTGGAAAACGAATACTACCATCTTTGTTTATCCCTTATCTTGTCACTCAAAATTCTGTTTCTCTAATACAGAAATATAAATCAATAAACGCCTTTCATAACTACAATTATGGTATTTCAACCGCGGAAAGGTATCGTCTTACAGGTAGCTTTTGATTCTATACATTATCATTTGTTTCCATAGTCACCCCACATTACTGGAGATAAAAGTACATGATTACTCACACTTAAATAATAGCGTGGTTAGGTTAGCCAGTAAAGTTTGAGTTAGTTTGAGTAGTAAATAATGTCTCTACTTTATCCTAAACATTTGAACAGATTTTACCAGTATAACTTATACTTCCTTAAAGGGAAAATTTTTATAAATATATATTAGCAAAAGTTTCCTATTCCCGACACTGAGGTTAAAAGAGGAGAAGGGTGTTGAGAGCAGTATACCAGGAACACCTTATGAAAGTTTGTGTTGTTGGTGTCGAGTTTTTGAAGGGAGAGACGCCACTGCAGGTTAACTTGTGACACGAAATTATGAAACCCTAACGAGAAGATGAGTAAATTGATGAGAAATTCGATTATCTTGAGATTATTGTGTGGTTTTTTTATATGTGTCATGGCCACTATAAATCCATCTGTACGGTTAGGTTTGGTTAGGTAAGGTTAGGTACCAATATTTTTTTTAATATTAAAACTTACCATAAAACACTACCACCATCTGTGATCCTGTAGACCTGCACTAAAAATAACCAATTATACACTAACACAGCCTGCACCATCACTAACATTAGTACCATATATGTATATACACAACATACGTCTGATTTACAGCGAAATTTAATCTATCTCCAACTGTGTGTTGAGTGACGAGGAGTGTGTGAGTGATAATTTTATGTAATCTTTTTAAACTTCGGGCTGGTCATAGACAATCATGTATTTAATCACATAACATAATAAATGAATAGCTTCATATTTAACCCAACTGGAATTATCTAACCCAAACTAGCTTTACCTGCCTTACCTAAACTACTTTAAACCTAATATGATGGTAATGGATGTCTTCTGTGAAAGAACAGTTTTTCTCACATACAAATTAAATTTCATTAAAGTGTAGCAATAAAAACAAAAAGTTATACCTATATGTACACAAGTATACTGTAAACTGTGTTTTTAAACTCAAGTGTGATTATCCCTACTTCGCGTGACAATTATACGGTATTATTAATCATACAACATGCTCTCTGTGATTTAGTGTAGTCACCCCCAAAAGTCCTGTAACCACCATCCCTGATCCACCAAACCCGATATTCAGATTCGTGAACCCGAAGCAATAGACAGTAATGAATCATTCTCTCCACAAATGCTTCGGGTTCGCTAATCTGAATCTCGGGGTTCGTGATGCAAGGAGTTTTGTGGATGACTGTACCTCTTGTCATGTGGCAGACTGAGTAGTGGAACTACTTACTAGAGGCAGCTGGTTAGGATGGGAAGGGGACCGATGGGCGTCCTCTAACTGTGGGCGCGGGTAAGGAGGTCCAGGAATAGGGTGGTGGATGGGTCGAGGCGGCGAAACAATTTCTACCACCTCTTGGGTTTCCTGCTCGTACTGTTGAGGTCCCAGTTGCTGCGGAGGCTCTTGCACAGTTGGGAGGTCATGTTGCGGCTTCTCTGCTGCTTCTGTTATCTGTAGCCTTGGTTGTTCTTGCTGCGTTTGTTGCTCGGGTTGGTATGGCGGCTCTCGTAGTTGGGGTTCGTCTTGTTGCTGTGGAGTGACTTGGGATAAAAGGTGTTCGTCACTGACTTGTGGCTGGTGTTCTTCCTTTGCTTGATTTTGATGCTGCAGATTCTCTTTTGGTGATGGTGATTGTTGTGTCGCTACTGGTGTGAAACTGTTTGGTTGAGGTGCTCGGGCGCTGAAATGGTCTGTGGGGAGCCTGGAGTCAACGATCTCGCGGGTTGGAGCCACGTACTCCCCGTCAGGGAAGATTGACGAGTAGTCACTTATCTCCAGGGCTACTTCGTCTGCTGCGACGTTGACCTCGTTCTCTGGCTGGAAATGTGGATTGTCAAAGTTGGGACGAGGGTTAAGGGGTAAATGGCCAGTGCCCTGTCCCGATTCTGATGGGAAAGGTTGTGGTCCAGAACCAGCATAGGGAGGCGGTCCATTGAAGATTGGTCTTGATTCACCTGAATGTTGTGGCCGTAGGGGCCCTCTGACCGCTGGGGGTGGAGGTCCCCTGAGTCTCACTGGGGGTGGTCTACTTTTAGGTCCCTGGGAGAAGGGCGCAATGTCCAGGAACTGTCGAGTGTGTGCAGGGAGCCCTCGGGGCCCCTGTTCGTGCTGGCCCCTCACTGCCACCACCAGCAGAGTCACCGCCAACACCAACTGTCGCATCCTTTATCGCCTGCCTGTGCTGAGTATTGTATAAAATCACTTTAGTGGTAGAAAGTAATCTCGAGAAGAGAAACTAAGTTGTCACCAAGTCTTGTGTTGTCTTTATATATCTACTTTCACAAATATAATTTATTAATACATGTGAACAAATGTGAAAATCTTTGGCTTCACAATGTTTCGAGCGCTAGTGAATTTTTCAGAATAAATGGCGCTTTTGAGAAACAAAACACCAGCTACTATTATTATTATTATTTGTAGTAGTAGTAGTAGTAGTAGTAGTAGTAGTAGTAGTAGTAGTAGTAGTAGTATTCATATAAAATATTTTACAATTACTAATTCACAGTAATACTATACAGTTATTTTATTAACACAGTATACCATCGTACACCATTATGATTATAGACTGATGGACACTATTAATATCTATGCATTAATATATACTATTGAATGTAATACAATCATTACTGGGGTCGGTGCTACAGCGTATCTTTCACATTTGTGTTCCGGGTTCAATCCACAGCCCGGGACAGATGTATGAAGGGTGTGACACTGCCAAGCACAGAGGTTATGTTCCAAGTACTCTAGTTTCCCCTTGTACAGTTACTGAATAATAAAGGTTAACAAGCAGCACGAACGGCGAGTAAGCTGGCAAGTGGTGGGATGATAAATTAAAAAAAAACATACACGAGTCTTCCGTGACACTAAATCATAACTATTAATCTAACTCGCATTCTCTCTCACACACACACACACACACACACACACACACACACACACACACACATATATATATATATATATATATATATATATATATATATATATATATATATATATATATATATATATATATATATATATATATATATATATATATATATATATATTGCGCTTGTGAGACCTCACTTGGATTATGCAATTTAATTTTGGATTTTGGTCACCGTACTACAGAATAAGCATCTGAATTTGCAATCCCTCGAAAGACGTAGTGTGGGGCGATATGATCGAGGTGTATAAATGTAAGTCAGGGCTAAACAAAAGTGATATAACAAAGGTACTCAAACTATCCCACCAGGAGCGAACTCGTTGCAATGGTCTAAATCAGACAAATTTAGATTTAGGCACGTGATAGGTAAACACTGGTTTGGAAAAGAGTAGTGGTTGGGTGGAACAAGTTACCAAACAATCATTAACTCGAACACGCTGGGTAGCTTCAAATATAGGTTGGACAGATGTATGAGCGAAAGGGGTTGGGTGTAAACGGGATTGTCCAGTATGGGCCAAGAGACCGGCTGCATTTTCCTCCATTATTATGTTCTTCATACATGCACAATACACACACATGCACAATACACACACATGCACAATACACACACATGCACAATACACACACATGCACAATACACACACATGCACAATACACACACATGCACAATACACACACATGCACAATACACACACATGCACACGCACAATACACACACATGCACACGCACAAAACACACATACACACGCACAATACATACACACACGCGCACAATACATACACACGCACGCACAAAATACACATACACACACAGACACATTGGTAATTCGGTCGAGGTGAAAGTGTATTACCCAGAGCTATACCAAGATATGCAGGTGAAGTAACCTGTCAGATCAGGTCAGATCAAGTCTCAGTATCTTTTTATATGCTCTCCATTGTGTCTTGCTTTCACTTGCGTCCGTTTCCTCCTTTTTTATGTAAATACTTAAACACTGTGGACGTTTGAGTTTCATGGTGGTTATATTGTCCACCCGCTTTATTGGTCATTCTCAACACTAGAATATAAGAATGGAGGAAACTGCAGAGGTTCTACTGGCCCACACTAGGTAGTTCCGGTTACACCCAACCCCGATGGCACATATATCTGTGATCTGTCCAACCTATATTTGAAGCTTCCCAGCATGTTAGAGTTAATGATGAAATTCGGTAACCTGTTCCACTCATCCACTACTCTATTACCAAACACGCACTACCAGTCACTGAACCGTTAAGGTGTAATGCAAAAAATGCCTTTCTAATTACTGTAAGTATAATCCTAACACAGTGTTTCTATACAAAGTACTACTTGACAACTGTCCTAATATTTATTATTTTTACCGAGGTTTCAAATCGTCAGACTTGCATGTTACCGTGACAATATGTGTGTATTAACTCAACTATACAGTACACCTCGGCCACTCCTCTAGCTACCAAGTACACATACTGTTCATCTCATACCCAGCCCCGAACATACACCCTCGAAAAAAACCATCAGCTAGATTTAGTTTCCTCCGCTGCTCACCTATGTCCTTCTGATATGTTTAAACCAACCCAAATTATTTCTTCTTACCATCACGACAGAGGAGGAGGATATCGGAATCACTACTTCCATCTCAATGTCTTCATCGCCAGACCACAAAAGTTCTCTCTCCACAACAATTCTAAGGGGCAATACTATTCATATGAAATACCAACACAAGAACATAACAATGGAGGAAACTGCAGCGAACCTATTGGCCCTTACTGGGCAGTCCCATTTACACCCAACCCCTATCGTTCATATATCCATCCAACCTAAATTTGAAGCTATCCAGTGTATTCGAGATAATGATGATGATTGGTAACTTGCTTTACTCGTCCACTACTCTGTTTTCAAACCAATGTTTACCTATCTCGCGCCTAATACCAGATTTGTCTAATTTAAAACCCATTGCTATACGAGTTCGCTCTTGGTTGGATAGGTGGAGTACCTTTGTAATATCACCTTTGTTTAACCCTGACTTCCATTTATACACCTCGATCAAATCGCCCCTCACTACGTCTTTCGAGGGAGTGCAAATTCAGATGCATCTGTACTAGGTACTTTACATTTGTCCACATGAAATTTCAGCTGCCATTTTTCAGGCCATGCAAAAAATTGGTTGCGATCTTCCTGTAGTTTCGCGGAGTCCTCGTTAGATTTAATGACACGCCGCATTTTAGTGTCAACAAATTTACTTCTGTTGCTGTCTACGCCTATATCTATGTCGTTCATGTGAAAAATAAATAGTACTGGTCCAAGTACTGAGCTTTGGGGTACTCCACCAGCGACGCTACCCCAATCGAATTTGGTGCCGTTAATGCTTACTCGCTGTTTCGTATCCTGTAACTACGCCCTAATTCATTTTAGAATATCTCCTCAAATTCCATGAGCCTCCACTTTTCGTATTAGTCTTTCGTGGGGGACTGTCGAAGACTTTGCTAAAGTCGAGGTATACCACATCATAATCGTGTCTGTCATCCACTGATCCGAAAACAGTTGAAAAGAATGTATAAAGATTAGTTAGACATGAACGCCCGCTTGTGAAGCCATGTTGGGAATCATTGATCAACTTGTGCTTCTCCAGGTGATTTCGAATAGAATTTGAAATTATTGCTTCCAGCAATTTGCCTACAATTGATGTTAAACTGATTGGAAGGTAGTTAGAGGATAGTGATATATCTCCCTTCTTGAAAATTGGTATTGCATTCGATATCCTCCTCCAGGATTCTGGTACTACACCCGTTTTTAATGACATGTTAAACAAATTTGCTAAGGGCATACTAAGCTCTTCCTTACATTCCTTTAATACTCTGGCAAATATCTTATCGGGACCTGAAGACTTCTTAAGCTTTAGTTTGTCTATTTGTTTATTAACATCGTTACCAGTCACTACTATCTCGCTTAGTCTATGTTCTTCACATACGAGTTTACTTAACTTCGTTGTAAATGGATATGTCAACAGTTGAAAGTGGCCTTCTCTGTGATATGAAGAACCATAGAGGGTAAACAGGTGATGGACAATGATTTAATAAACACGGTGACCCCCCCCCCTAAAAAAAAAAAAAAAAAACTTTCCTCTCAGACGAAGGAATGTAAGAATCACGAATCATCACCTGAATAAATAAACACCATCTCAACTTTTGAACTACTGTAGCTTATCTAAATAACAGCCTTTTAAGGATGAAACCCAGGTCAATAGTTTGAAAATTTTAGGCAGTTAGATTTGGTTATGGATAGATAGCAAAACAAAAGTACTATACATTAGTTCATTTTAACCAGATAACAGCTGCGCACACTCACTAAATGAATACATGTAAATATCAATCAAGCAATAATTCACGACATTTTTTAACCAATCTTGTAGATCCAAAACAGTGGTAAGATTCTGAAAGGTGAAAATTAATAACAGACTTGCAGTAAAACACCTCATTCTCACGCTTACCATGCACTTTCTCCTGCGTCACCCACACCCTCATCATACGTCTTCGTGTACGTGAGATCCTACCACACCCACCACACTCCTACCACAGCTACACCCCTACCACACCCACGACAGCTACATCCCTCATACCCCACACTACCACACCCACAACACTTCTACCACACCCACACGACACTTCTATTACTCCCATGTCACTCCTACCACACCCACGCACCACCTACCACACCCATTCTACCAAACCTACACCCTTCCTACCGCACCCACCCCCTTTCTACCGCACTCACACCCCTTCTGCCGCACCCACACCCCTTCTGCCACACCTACACCCCTTCTACCGCACCCACATCACTTCTACCACACCCACATCAATTCTACCACACCCGCATCACTTCTACCACACCCATACCCCTCCTACCATATCCATACTCCTCCTACCACACCCACATCACTTCTACCACACCTACACCACACTCCTACCACACCCATACCCCTCCTACCATACCTACTCCTCCTACCACACCCACATACTTCTACCACACCTACACCCCTCCTACCACACCCACCACTTCCCCACACACCCCTCTACCACACCTACACCCCTTCTACCCACCCACATCACTACCACACCCACATCAATTCTACCACACCCGCATCACTTCTACCACACCCATACCCCTCCTACCATATCCATACTCCTCCTACCACACCCACATCACTTCTACCACACCTACACCCCTCCTACCACACCCACATCCCTTCTACCACACCTACACCCCTCCTACCACACCCATATCACTTCTACCACACCTACACCCCTCCTACCACACCCACTACACCTGTGACCAGAAAACACGAATGTCAATCACTAAAGTCACACCCAAGTCACATCCAATACACCTCGTCAGTCACGTCACACCCATTCCGGTATCTTCGTGGTGTAGATTAATTAAGTAGTTTTCTCTTCTATTTTTAAATTATTTTTACTCTTAAGTCCCCTCACCTCCCCCCCCAGGCCCCGTTGTGGGTCGATGACTTGTGCCCAGGTAGGCTATTACCTGTAAAGTCAGTCACGTCACATCCATTACACCACGTCGCTCATGTCACACCCATTACACCCCGTCGTTCATGTCACACCCATTACACCCAGTCGCTCATGTCACACCCATTACACCCCGTTGCTCATGTCACACCCATTACACCCCGTTGCTCATGTCACACCCATTACGCCCCGTCGTTCATGTCACACCCATTACGCCCCGTCGTTCATGTCACACCATTACACCCGTCGCTCATGTCACACCATTACACTCGCTCATGTCACACCCATTACACCCGTCGCTCATGTCACACCCATCACCCGTCGCTCATGCCACACCCAGTCGCTCATGCCACACCCATTACCGTCGCTCATGTCACCCATTACACCCGTCGCTCATGTCACACCCATTACACCCGTCGCTCATCACACCCATTACACCCGTCGCTCATGTCACACATTACACCCGTCATGTCACACCCATTACACCCTTCGCTCATGTCACACCCATTACACCCGTCGCTCATGTCACACCCATTACACCCGTCGCTCATGTCACACCCATTACGCCCCGTCGCTCATGTCACACCCATTACGCCCCGTCGCTCATGTCACCCATTACACCCGTCGCTCATGTCACACCATTACACCCGTCGCTCATGTCACACCCATTACACCCGTCGCTCATGTCACACCCATTACACTCGTCGCTCATGTCACACCCATCACACCCGTCGCTCATGTCACACCCATTACACCCGTCGCTCATGTCACACCCATTACACCCCGTCGTTCATGTCACACCCAACACACCCGTCGCTCATGTCACACCCATTACATCCACACCACTCCCAGGGTACATATATCTTTCCCTAAACGGTAGCGACATTCCCACCAAATCAACCAGCACACCTTCACTCCACCTGCGACACTTTCACTACACCTGCGTTAATCTTACTACACTTGCGACACTTCTACTACACCTGCGTAACTTCCACTACATTTGCGTCATTTCCACAACGCCTGCGTCATTCCCACTAATCTGCGTCACTCCCACTACACGTGCGTCACTTTCGCTACACGTGCGTCACTCCTACTACACCTGTCTCTTTTGCAGTATCCACCATTACACTCATTAACTAACCATCACAGCTATTGGCTCCCCACAATACTCATACCACCATCACCACCACAGCATCGGGTTAACCACAATACACACGAAACACCACCGCCATACCACGACGTAAACAGCTCTCCTAATATGACCATGGTACAATACCAGCGACTCCCCTCGTGTGTGCCAAGCAGCCACCACATCACATTAACAACATTACTCACGCTATCACATCAACAGCACTATAACATCACCACAGTAACACCTTAACACAATCACATGAGCAACACTACCACACCAACAACACCACCACCACCACAGCACCGCCATCACAATACCATAATACCAAAGCCATTACATTAACACCACCAAAAATACATCACAATACCCATAAAACAATCACATTTCCCACACATCACAACACTCGATAACTCTGAACGACTCTACAACATAAGTAACACCATCACAACACTGCGGCGGTATTTCAAAGGCTAACAGTGCCACAGTAATACACTAACGATACACAACGGTGCAATAATACAACACCACGAACGCAGCCACTGTTACCATACACAAGTCATCACCAAAACGATAACACTAAGCGCAGCACCATCACTTTACAGGTATAGTGCCAACACCACAGCAACACTACAACACGCATCATCAGCAACAATACATAGACACTAACCCACCGACCTGAGCCAGAAACAGCAGTAGTGTAACTTCACCGTCGCGTGTTACCCCTGTACTGTAGCTTTCTCCTCACTCATGGCTTAAATAACCACGCTTTTGAGAAACTCTGTGTAGACCCGCCCCTCACTAAGGTGCCGAGCCGTGAAGGTGATATTCAACACCCATAACGATTTACCATGATCGAGTCCTCATAAAATAAGTGAAGATTACAGCTACGGTCGTTTTATCCAGCATTTTGTTTTAAATGATGGGAAGACAGACCATAAAGACTTACTACAGTACATTTTAGAACAGAACCATTTATCTGGTTTCAGTCCCTCGCGTGTTTTTTTTTCCTTATAAAAACACTATCCGACTTACCCGCCATCGCCTGGTTTATTAATGACAAAAATCCTGTCCGTGAACCCGAAACCAAAACTATTTAAACAGACGACGGACACGTTCGTACATGGTTGTTCGGCAAACGAGTCTCAAACATACTTCCATGGATCAATAATTATAAGTTCAACAGAAAATACAATATAAAGTTGCTCAAACACACACACACACACACACACACATCCAGGTACAAACTCACTCATACCAGATACACACACACACAAACCAGTTACACACACACACACACATCCAGGTAAACACTCACTCATACCAGATACACACACACACACACACACGCATACCAGATACACACACACACTCATACCAGATACACACACACACTCATACCAGATACATACACTCATACCAGATACTCCCACACATACTAGATACACATACATTCCAGACACACACATATTCATACACGCACCAAGAAAACCCGAAAATTGTGCCAGGCGAAGGTTAGGACAAGCCAATAAGTGACTTGACGCTTTATCAACCGGCATTCACCAATTATTCATTCACCTTTTCACTTTCATTAATAATACACTCTGGAGATTAACCATAAAATAACGTGTTAGAAGGTTTTCCCTGATGGTTAATCGTAATGTTGAAACAGTGGATGGTTGTTCATGCTGTTATTTTTACTCGTATCTGCACTACATGTGTCGTATATGTAAGTTGTGGAAGACAGGAGCATGATAAATACACCACTTTTGTAATCCAATTTCAGATGATATAAATTTACGCTATACTATATGCTAAGCAGCACAGGACGTATCGAGTCTATGGAATATTGCAATTTGATACAATATCAGAGGCTCCAGTAACCGTCACGCCTGCACCACCAAATACATTACTCAGTAAATCTTACCATGAATTTATACAAAACAACATGTAACACAGACACATATCTAGTATACTGTAAGTGTCTTCGTACTTTTTGTCCGTCAAAACGCGAAGCATATACAGGCAGTTCTAATTACATCACTAAAACAGAATGATAAACTCAATTGGTTCCCGAGACAAATAAAATCAACTAAAAAAAAAAAGGCACTAAATCAAGGTTAAGCCCAGGAGCTGCCACATTATGCCTACTCGAGTTAAATATATTGTTTTCGTGCCTTACGCACTGGGAATGGGGACGAAATACAGAAACTGCTGAAAATAAAATGGACAGATCAGCTCAAAACCGACTCAGGTCCTTCTGGGGAGAACTTCAGGTGAGTACGTAGATCTAGTATAGTTTTAACCTTTTTTCCCATGAAAAATAATTTTTTTCGCAAATTTTCTTGGGGTTTTAGATGATTCTGACATTTATTTTTAGTGAAAATCACTCATTTTCAGCCCCCACCCAAAACCCCGCATTCCCTACGTGGCCCCCTACATTATTGGAGTGGAACGGGAGTGGGAATAAAAAATAAATACAAATAAAAAAATTATTTGCCCCAAAGATAAATATCAGAATCATCTAAAACAGCAAGAAAACTAGCGAAAAAAAATATTTTTTTCACGGGAAAAAAGGTGATGGGAGGTTAACGAAAAATGACCGAGAACTATGACAGCTAACTAACATAAGGCAGGGTATGAAGTAATCAGCCACCCTGGCATGTGAAATACTTCCTGTGGGCTTCATGTTTTGCAGTTAAATTTTAAGTGGTGGTTACACATCTCGGGAAGTTTTGATTTATATAATATTATACACGAAACTTATGAGCGACAATTATAACAATATTTACCCTCCGAAATTGTCTTAACACACATACATTAAGCAAAATAAGTCCCAAGCAAATAAAGTACATAAATGCGGTTTTTCAGGTGTTAAATAATTGTGGCGAAAATAAATATATCATCTCAGGTGTAAAACAGTTGCAGTGATTAAGAATAATAACGAACATGCAACTCACCTCACACCTGCCTGACCCGCTGCAAGAAACCCCTCCCACGCATGACTGGGAAGAAAATGGAAAGTTGCCGAGCACTAAAAAACACAAAGCATTTCCCACGGGTCCCCCAAAATTGTCAAACTCAAAAACGAGTTATTTGCGATAGAAATGAAGGTCAAAGTCGTTCAAAATACACCAAAAATCATCGGGAACACGTAAGTTTCATGTTGAAAACCATTATGGGCAACTTGTAAAAATTTACCCTTTTTAGTTTTAGGATCTTTAAAGGTTAGGAAATATTAGGTCAAGTTTTCAAAAGTTTGTTAAGTGTTATTTAGTATTTCACTCCACATTTTCCCTCTACTTCAAAGCCCTGCCCACTTAAATCAAGTAATATTGTTGGTAATTTTATCGATTAAAATACTCGAAAAATGTAAATATCCGTCAGAAACGCTTTAGAAAAGAAATGTCTTAGAATTACTTCAAGTACTGATTCTAAAACTTAAAATCTTAGAATTAGCTGGATAAGCGAAACGATAATTTTACCTACAAAATTATTCTCTTTTAAAATACAGTAGATATTTTGCCGTGACCTGCTAAGTTCCTACTAACGCTACTTTACTGTGAGTGCGCTCTGATTGGCTAATCGTCCATTACCGGCGAACGCGAGAACTATATTTGACCGTGACTGGCGGCATTTAGCATTTATTTCGTCGCGAGTCGATCGTTGTGTAGCTGTAAACATACCAAACTATATTTATGTTGTGCATGGAAACTTATCATCATAAAAGAGTCGACATTTACTATAACCAAATCGAACCTGACCTATCCAACTTAACTTTACTTAACTTCCTAGCGCCCCCGCCATATTAAACAGAAAGTACTTAGCCAATCAGAACGCACTAACGGTAAAATAGCGTTAATAGGAACTTAGCCGCGTTTAAAATACATACGATAATGATAAGAACATATGAAATAAAAATGAACGAAATTGAACAACTTCTGGCGTGCTGTTCTCGGAAATTACTACATAGGTTTTCTAGTGCATTTTGTGTTGTTTGAAGTTGATCTGACCATTTTTCCATTGCAGGGCTTTGAAGTGCAGGGAAATGGTGGGGTAAAAACGCCCCCCCCCCCCCAAAAAAAAAATAAATAAATATATAAAATAATAAAATACGGACGAAACGAATCATCCTAACCAGAGAAACAATAGGGACCTGAACTAACCAAACCTCCTAGCCTAAACTTACTTTAATTAGCAGATGCTAGAGGATAAAGTGATGCTACTTGTAGGAGGATCTGGTGGAGTCTATTCTTGTGATCTATGTATTTGGTTTGGAAAATGTACCGTCGTTCTATATTTTACGTATGAACGCCCGTAACACTTCACAGAGGTTGGCAGAGTACAGTGAGCCTTAAAAAATGTCAATGGCAGCGGAATTTTTTTCAAATACACAATGAATGGTTTGCCAAGCCATGGAAGAACACGAGGTGCAAAGAAAACTTCTTCCTGGTAGCCAGGTACCCAAGGGAAAGACCATCTAAAGAAAGACAGGAAAGGTCCGAAATGAGGTGTAGAAAAGGCGAACTGATTAACTTCTAGTTCCTTCGCCCGCTTCATGAGGGTGCTAGTGTTGAAGTGCGTCGTCTGCATGTCTACACCTGTGAATCAGATGATTGCTCCTCGAATGATGTTAGTTAAGACAACCATGGTTGGTGGAGGGCATCCCTGCGCTATATGCAGAAGAAAGAAAGATACTCATCCGGAATTTGTAAACCATCGCTTTCCAAAAGATACACAAATGTAAGCACGGTGCATCTCTGTTATTTTCAATAAATGGAGTTAATGTTCAATAAATATAAGGAACTTTAGGTAACGGAACATTACGAGTATCCTAATGCTACGCATTTTCTCAGATGTCAGAAATGGAAAGAAATCTCACAAACTCAATCCATTCTGGGCAAGAATCCAAATCAATTAAATCAAAGCTACAGGGTGTGCAGCCACCGTTTTTCGAAAGAAAATTATCAAACTTCAACAAGATTATTCAGTCATGCATACCCAGACCAAAATTTACCGAGTGAGATACGGGATGTAATTTCAATGTAAGATAATTTTAAACAATTATAATAATGCTTAAAAAAATAGAATGCTTATGTGAGAATGTATGGATCATGCATTGCTGTATGAGTGTGTGGCATTAGAAAATATGTTTACAATGCAAACTCAGTATTTATAAATTATAGTGTAGGTATTACTTGGACTTCACAATTAAAATATAATCTCCTAAAACTGATTTTATTTCTCCCATATTACTGTACATATGTAAACTGTAAATGAAAAAAAAATAATGAAAGGTAAATGGATATATGAGAAACTGAGTGATAAAAATGCATGTGGGGATATTCATTTGCTGAGTGATTTTTATCCTATCGAGATATAGATATTTTATCGGAATTAAAATAATTGCATAGAAGTGCTCACAAAAGGGACCAGATACAAATATACAGATACTGTAGGTATACATGAATACATTGCAAGACACACACAATCTGTGGGTACTGTATGCAATGCACTACAGTATAATTTCATCACAAAATTATTTATGCAATATTATAAAAAGGCTCCTACCGTGAACACATTCATATTATGCAAGTAATACGCTAAATTCATAAAGCACAGTAATAAAACTACATGCCTATTATGGATTATCTGATTTACTTTTATATACTACTTAATTTTATGTAATCGATTTTAATTATTTGGCCTAAGAAACATGAAATAATATTAAAAAGGTAATAGTGATTACAATGGAATAACGGGAATATCTGTATCCCCTAAACTAAATTTTCGTTCACTCAATAGATGGCGCTGTAAGCAGATCAAAATTCTGTTAGTATTTGGCATCGTTTTGGCTACACTTAATTGCTATGCTTGATAGGAACATTTCCTGTCTTTCTTTAGGAAGTTTAGATGATCTTTGCCCAGGGTTTGAAGCGACACCGAGAACACCGCTGACACCGAAATTCGGTGATTGGCGGAACATACCCGAGAGAGTGAGTCGGAATGAAACCGTGTCTCCAGCCAAAACTTTTAATTTTGCGATGGAAACGTAATATATACAGCGAATTTTAGGATTTTAAGTTATCACCGTCCGACAGAGCTTCTGTGTGCTCGTTTGTTGGTTACTATGTTGCATTACGCATGCGCCAGTGCGACCTGTGGATGACGAGGAGGAGGACTGCATGTGTTTAGTGTTTCGTAGCCCTAATAAACAAGCTATAAAGCTATAAAATATACATATAAGCATATAGTCACACATACATATATAATATACATTCATGCATACGTACATTCATGCATACATACATTCATACTAGCCTATATACTCTAGCAGTCTAGCCTATACAAATACACCGAGATAGGCCCCCTCCCACTGGACTTAATTAGCCCCAGGCCCACGAGACCCTTAATCCGGTCCTGGGTGTATAAACATCTCAAAGGGCACTAACCCCGCAAACAGAGAGAAGCTCGGGAAGCAGCCATCCCCCTGGGCTCCCCGCCCACCTGGCACGATGTCCTCCGTAAACTTCCTGACCTCTCGTACGTCTATGGGAAAGGGTCGCGGAAAGGGGACGTGATTGCTGCCCGTATCATCATTGGGTATGACTTTGCTTGGGAGATTGGTATCCCCGCATCCCCTGAGCAACGCTCTTGTGCATTATGCAGAGGACCCGACAGCAGCACCCTTATTCACTACCTCCTAAGATGTCCCCACACACAACGCTTCCGTGACGCCTGCTGGACCACCACTCCACGACCCCCTGACGGAGACACGATGATCCTCCCCATACTGGCCAGATATTTTGTAAATAACATTGATTATATGTTAAAGGAATATCCTTCCTTCCTTAGGCTTTAGTAAGCCCCTTTATAATATTTATAATGTATATACTTGTCACACTTGCCAGATGCTTCTGGTGTCATTGTACAGGGGTACCTAGTGACAGCACTAGGATCCCGCTTCCTCTATCAAGGAATAAACAATTGAAATTGAAAATTGAAGGGCACTACTCAGTCGAGTGTCCTTACCTGGAGCTGGTGGACGCTCGCCCAACAAGGGATCACAGCTCGAGGTTGAAGAAGCTGCAGTCCAGAAAACTGGGAAGGCAAACTTTTTCGGGAGTGAGAGTTGTGAACTCGTGGAACAACCTGCCAGAGTGTTGTGACGGCACTGAGTGTGAGCTGTTTCAAGGCCAGACTTGACCAGCACTGGAGCAGGTTCAGGTACATTCAGGAGCCGGTGCATGCCCAGTACCTGCCAACAGTGCGTAACAGAGACGTGACCGATCGCCCAAGCGGCTAACGAGCCGATCAGTGGTGAAGAGGATAAAAGTTTAAAGTTTTATTATCAGTGTCCCATACAACTGGGATATTTCTTATCAACAAACTTAATTCGACTTGAAAATTTCTCCATTTTTGTGTTTGATAGTTTTACTTGCGTCAGTGGACAATAAACTTTAGCACTGT